CCATCTGTGTCAGTGAGTCCCCCTGGTCAGATCATGGAGGGCAGTTCAGTGACTCTGACCTGTAGCTCTGATGCTAACCCAGCAGCTAATTACACCTGGTACAAGGAGAACACAGTAATATCTACAGAACAGAACTTCACCATCACTAACGTCACAACTGAACATGGGGGAAATTATCAGTGTGAAGTTCAGAACAGAGTAGGACGACAGAACACCACCAAACATCTGGTTGTAAGAGCAGGTAAATAATTAAAGTAACATGTACATACTGTAAGTATTCTTCATTATTGACTAATTGATGCTAAATAGGTTGTTTCTCTTTTGCACCAGTTCCACTTAGAGCGTTAGAATCAGCATTTATTGGAACATCCACTGCTATTTTGTTGGCTGTAGTTGTGGTATCTCTCATCTTTCTGATAAGGTAAGGGTGCAAGTACACCAATACGTCAAATACTTTGAAATCCTCCTAAGTTTGACTTCATGTTAAACAGTAATTCAATGTAAATTTTGATTTTGATCAGAAAGAAAATGTCCCCAAGACAAGTGGCTGAAGCAAGAGAAAGACCAGACAACCGAGAACTGGTACAGTACTACTTAATTAGACGACCAAGAACCTACTGTACTAGTTGTACATATAAAACAACATAAGATTGTAGGCAATATATTTTGTATGTGCACATACACACACATATATATTTACACTTTTTTTGCCATGGGTTTTGTTACTTTTAGGCAGAAGAACAGCATGAACCACACTATGCCAGTATCCAGTTCGTGAGAACCTCAAGAGACCCAGTCTACTCAAATGTCATGGACTATAGATCTGGTAGACACGGGACACAGGAGATTGAAGACGATGTTTTAGAGTACAGTGTTGTTAAATTGCCCCATTCTGAACCAAGGTGAGCAGTTGGTCATTTGCAGACAGTGTCTTTACTAATTTCCCAATGACAACACTTAGTTTCATTTATTTTTATATTACCGTAATATCCGGACTCTAAACCGCTACTTTTTTTTTCCTCTCTTCCTCATACACACTGGCTCTCACCACACCTCCTCACTCCCCCAAATTTATGGATTTGTAAGGGCTAAAAATCATACCACTATCGATCAATGACTTGGTAGGCTACTCTGTGTTATACTAGTAGCGTAGGTCTGTCTGTGAATGGCTTTGTGCGTATAGGTGCGTGGGCCGCGCGAGAGAGCGAAAACGGTGGCGAAAGTTGAGAGCAGTTTGAGCCCTGTCATGTTGAAGCGTGAGTGGGTTAAACAGTAGCTGCTAAAACGCTTTTTATGTTCTGTTGTGCTCGGTGTGGCCGATGATAAAGACCCCAACTTCCCTGTTTCTGTTTACCTCTGCTGCCGTAAAGCACAAAGGGAAGTGAGTTAGCCCGGGAGCTAATGTTAGCTTCGGCCCAGGAACAGATCACTGTCTTCCTTGTGCATTCCAACTACGTTCGGGGCGTCGAAGCAGGAAAGAGCTAACGGGTAACCAGTCGTGTTACAGGCACTGTTCGAAACCCCCCCCCCAAAAAACATTAATCATTAAAAGTGAAGAAAATTTTGTGTGTAAATATCCCATGTTACCATGTGCTCACCTGCCTCTTATAGAGAAGTACGGCCTATATATGTACAATTATTTTTTTCTGTTTAAATTTAGTCTGTGTGTTTTATATTCAGGTGGGCTCAATAGTCCGGAAATTACGGTATTGTCTTAGTTTGGTTGTGTGAGGTATCAACACGTGGCTTGTAATTCCATACATAGATCTTAACGTCAGTGTTTACACTGACGTCCCTAGGTGACCTCATCCTTTTACTTTGTGAGGTTGATATAGTGCGAAGTGGCAATTTGAAGTAAAAATTTCTTACAGTCATAGATTATTTTTCATTCCACCAATGTTCTTTTGCACCCCCTGCCCCCATATTCAAACACACACAGACACACACTGCAGCCCTGTACCACTAGCACGTACAACACAAAAGCTAAGCATATTTCTTCGCTTAGCACAGCACCAAATGAACACAAATTACTGAATGAACACGAATATAATATAAATAGAATATAAATTGTTATTGGTAACAAAACGGCTCCAGTGAGGCAGTACAACTTCGGTTAGTCTGCATGTAAAAATATTTAACATTACCATATGGTTTTAAATTTGCAAAAGGTAGCATAATATTTACCCAGCAGCATAAGTTGTGTTCTGCTTAAGCAAAATCTCTAATTTTCTTTATAAAAAAATAAACAAATATTTTTTCCATTAAATATATATTTGAATATATGTAGCTATATTTTTTCAGATATATGTATATAGATGTATATACACACATCTATACACATATTTACATATACATGTATATATGTATATTGATATATATGTGTTATGTGTGTTTGTAATAAATCTAATAATTCCTTTTTTGTCATTTCTAGGCTCAGCAATCAAGTAACTGTTGAAGACCCGGCAGTATTGTACAGCACAGTCAAAAAACATTGATTTTAAAAGCCGAACCTGCATCAGCAGATACAGTATTATTGTAGCCATTTATCTTTCCCACAATTTAAATCACTGACAACATTTTATATGTTTGAACTTTGTTTTTGGGCACAGGCAGAGAAGACCATGCCAAATATGCAGCATTATCAGCTGTACTATCATGCTGACGTTAAGACCGAGGCACTTGAACAGTAACGTTTGTCATTAGCCTCTTATCAACATTTCAATACCATCTTGTGTCATTGGAAACTATGCATAATATAACGCTGTATAATTATCTGTAAAATAATGTTTTTATAACTTTTTTAACTAATAATGTTCAATAAAGCATTGTTTTTTATAGAATAGCAATTAAGACTTTATAAAAGCAGTTCAGTAAATTTTATAAAAATGAAAAATATACACTTCTATCTAATTTACATGGAATCTCCAAAGTATTTGGATATTTTCTTGACAAAGCCTGACCTAAAATTCAAACAGTTCTATTGACCTAATTGATCGTTCCATCGAATGTCAGGGCGGAGAGCCGATCCCAAAATGTTTACTACAACCAGCTATTACTTTGTAGTCATGCTAACTGTACATTAGCTTCAGTCAAGGAGCACAGACAAAGGTTCAACACCTTGTTTATTGTTTACAAACTCATCCGACAAGGACCCTGAGATTTGCAGTTTTGTCTTCTTAAATCCAAACAAACAAAATCTGCCATATTGGAACTCCGACACATCTAGAGTCCGCAGCCGTTAAAAGTTAGATCATTTGCTGCGTAATCCAGGTTGTTGCATTTGGCCTGCAGCTGTGGACTGCTGGAACATTCTGAGGACTGGGGCCAGCGCTCCACCCAGGTGTCCTTTCCCAACATGTAGATGTATCTGTCAATCACACAGAACAATTCAAACTTGACATCTCAAACTGATGACATTTTTTTAGTAGCTGTCACATGTGCTGTCACGTGACCGCAGCTGTCAATCAATATGTGTCAGATTGACCCCAGAGTTGGTAAACACTGCCTTAAACCCCTGCCTATAGGCCACGTGCGCCTCCATCTGGTCAACTTAACACGTGCTTTTCATCACACAGAATGGCTCGAAATGAATTTAATATACCAATGACCACGACCAATGAAATATCGTCACGATATACACGGTGGCCACATGCATTTACAACCTTTTGGATTATACACCAAGACATGGCAGATCTTACTTGTTGGTGTCACTGTCAACATTCCACTGATCTTCTTTGGGGCCCATTATCAAGTACTCAGTGCCCTGCTTCAGGTCCAGTCCCTCTCTGCATCTTCCATGAGACATGAAGGTCCTCGTCTGGCCAACTTCAAATCCAGCCTCCACACCTGGCCAGGAGGAGGAAACATAGAGCTTAGTGACGAGTTACCAAAGCCTGGACAGAAATAAAATCACACTGCGATACAATCATTCTTTAAATGAATTTCATCAGTGTGTAAGAATTAAAGACGCAACAAATGGTAGTCATGAAGAACTTAGCATGTTTCCCCAAAATACAGATGCTCAGTTGGTCCTGGAGACGTCATCCCATCACTGTTGGAAACATGTCTATCACCTTTGTACACCTAACTAGTAAAGGCTTCAAAATGTTAAATATAGTGTTTATTTTTTTTCAACTAACTTTGTTCTCAAACATTTAGTTAGTGACCTAAATGACGCTTTGTTGTTGTTATTCACAAACAGTATTTTATTTTAAGTTTTATCAACATGTAAATATGGAGAAAAAAAAACAAATTTCCTCAAATCAAACTAAACTTTATTTAAACATATAATGCAACACTTCATTTATTCATTTGTGTGTGTGTGCAGCACTGACTTACCCAGCTTGATGACCTGCATGATCTCCATCTCATATTTGTCATAGTAACTCTGCTCCAAACTCAGAACCTTCACCTTTAAAACTTCAGCACACAAACAGAAGAACACGTTTATATTATGACCTCGCTGCACACGAGGGAGGAACGTTTCTGATGTTCAGGGTCAAGGAGAGATTTGACCTTCACATTTTGGTGGATCCTTAACTCGTAACATCATGTATATTAAACATGGATCCATCCATCTGACTCATTACACTCATCACCCAGCCACTGTGTGGATCCATGCATCCATCAATCCATCCAATCATCAAGCCACCCAACCATGAATCCATCCAATAGTATAACCGCGCTGTAGTTATCCAACAGCCAATCCAAACTGATCAGCAGCATGTGTGCACGTGTACCGTGGCGCAGGCCGCTGCAGGCGAACGTCACCATTTCTTTACCGATGGAGATTTCATCGTCAGCTTTCGGGATGCAGCAGTCACCTGGGGTTTGTGAGTAAAACAAAATGTCAGCACAACATTTAACAAAGAACACACACACACGCGGTCGCAGACATGTGCACACACTCACCCTGTGTGCAGCGGCAGACGTTGTCTTTGCAGATTTGAGCCAGCTCTTCTTTGTCCTCCTTGGGAGTGTAGGTTCGACTGCAGCGGTGATCTGAAGGCGAAGTAGAAACACATGATATTTTTTATGCATATTTATTATGATGCTTAATGAGCAGAGTTAAAGGCGACTTGGTGAAATGAAATATGTTATGACCTTGTTCAGGGTCCCAGTCATTCAGGTCATTTATCTGAAAAAGTGTAAAAATGGGCAACTAGACTTGGCTTTGATTCTAGAACCACTGTGCTGTGGGGCTATGTCTATCAACAATTATATACTCTTCCACTAGGTGGCAGCAGATGGCTAAAAAAACAAAGAAAAAAAGACGTTCAGGGCTGTTGGGTAAGATCTTCAATTCCTGCTTGTATATCAGGGTTGTGTTCAACTAAACAGGATTTATACTCAGTTAGTAAACTGTGAGTAAATTGAAACTAGAGAACCGTTAGACTTGGTTACAAATACATTCTGAGACATTTTCGTTTGGTGGTGTGCTCTGAGATTTGTTAAAAATGTGTGTCATGGCTCTTAAAAGGTTGGGAGACCATCTTTGGGAAGACGTTTGACGTCTTAACCAACAGCATTCTTCATCATTCTTAATGACTGCTGGAGAAAATGTTGGTATTTATCCTCTGAGTGGCTGGACACCTGAAAACTGAAAAAGTCATGATAGGAAAAACAAAGGTGAGGTGACCACACCTGAGGCACCGAGAGTGTATGGTGTTCCCCTGAATCAAGGTGTTTCTGGGAGGAGAAAACTGTATCTGTCCTACACTCAACAACCGACACACTCCAAGAGACACTCAGCCATCTGTGGGCTGAGTGTGATACAGAGCACCCCCCCCCCCCCCCCGGGCCGACCCGGGGTGGAAAACTAGACGGTCACTGAGGACGGCTGAAGGTTTCCCACTTTGAACCTCTGCTGAAGTCTGAAGATCAGGATCTCCTGCTCCTTGTGTGAAACCTGGACAGAGACGGTCAGAGATCTTTACATTGTTGCAAATTATATTTACATTTTCAGGGACAACACTTATTCTGCACAAGTGGAAATATGCATCTTCCTCTGCAGTACTTTCTTGTACTTTGTACTTCTTCTAGTATTTACTGTATTTGTCCTTCTACTTTCGTTCCTCTAATTCTTTTTCCTCTTTTACTACTTCTTGTTTTTATGCAATCTTACTTCTTCTTTTTCTTCTTCTCGAAATTATTTTTCTTCTTTTACTTCTTGTTCTTCTGCCCCCCAGTCAGAAAAGAAAGAAATGTGGAGTTACCTTGAATAAGTGGAGGATGAGAGATCCTCTGTCACTCAGGTTGTCCACTATTTGAAAGTTATTGATGTAACGATCCACTGAGTTGGACAGCTGAAAAAACACACACACAGACACACACAGACATACGGCACATCAGCAAATGTCAGCTAACATTTGACAGAGGTCACACGGTGACATATCAGTTGTTGTAGTTTACACAAATTAATGAATTTCTCTCCTGGACTGTGCATCTCTATCTGTAGGTAAAAAAAAAAGTGGACAAGCAGCTGACACAGATTGTCAACAGTGAGTCATTTACTTTATTAATTAGTGGTGGAAGGTAATTACCATCTCCAGGTCTGAGTTTTCTGGAGTGAAGCCTGTTGGAAGGCTGATGTCAAGGATCACCATTCTGACATCTCTGGGTCCCAGAGCTCTGTATCACAAATAAAGGGAGGAGAGGGGAGGGAGGACAATAAGAGAAAGAGAGCGAGAGAGAAGGAAGGAGAGTGAAAAACAAAGGAGAAAAAAGTTATGTCACCCCCTTGTGGCTAACCTGTGAAATAGCCACGTCCTTATTTCATAGAAGTGAAAGCCAAATTGCGACTTCCAAATTCAAACATTATTATTTAAAAACAGGGAAAATGATAATAGATTGCATAATAGATTTAAGTGAATAAAAACAGCAGACCATTGTACAATGATTTCTTTTTACATTTACAGAAAGGAGTGTTTTCTAATCGGGGGAATGAGAAGACATAGATAATTTCTCACCTGACTTTAATGGTGATCTGGAAAGACTTTTCTACATCTGCCGGAGGTTTTTCTGTTACAGAGATAAAAAGATGTATTTTAATTTTTTTGGCGGATTTTTGTAGGATGAAGAAATAAAGTCTTGTCAGAATGGTTTACATTATAAACATATATATTAAATTGGTTGGAACAATTCAGTTATTATTATTTTCCACAGTCACTAAACACATTCCACCAAGGTGTGCAAAACAAACAAATGATATTCTGTTTTACACATTAATGTTAAAAATAAAACATCTCATAGTTGGACTTACCACTGGATTCTTCGATGGCAACGTTGAGCTCAAAGTACTCACACGGCTTTTTCTCGTCCACCTCAGGCACCTGGTTGTAGTAGGTCACCATCTTGGATCGATACACACAATTGACAGGCGTGAGAAAAAAAAAAAAACGTGGAGGCAAATGTTTTAGTAATTTCTAAATTTAAATTACATCATAAATGTGAATGTCCAGTCCCTCATTCCTAATAAAAAAAAGGGTTTTGTTTTAGCACTAGTTTAACGGAGTTCAAATGTGATTCCACTTGTCTTATAAAAGAAGTTTAAAGACACAACGTGGAAAATTCTAATTTATTTCATGGTCCGTCAACGCAACACCTCTGTGGACAAGGGTCGTGGACCCCGGGGCGGTAGCAACGAGAAAATACACCACCGTTACACCAGCATCATTTTCTTGATGAGGTTAATTAAAACGATACCACAGTAAATCTTAACAAAACAATTTTCAGTGAACAACACAAAAGGTTGTATCTAAGCTGAGCCCAGCTGATTTTTGCAAAAAGAGAGAACATATTCTTAGTTTTTGAAACCCTATCAAAGCCCATTTGTCTTAATATGGCACAGTATTGACACAGTATGGACAACAAATCCATATGAAAGTATTTTAAATGCAAGAGTAAAAATAAAACATCACACTGCTTGTCCATCACGCCGTGAGAACCTGAAAATGAAATAATTGTACCTCCAGTATTCCCTGTCCTCCTCCACGAGCCTCTACTTCCAGGCCAACGTTTAGAGGCATCTAGGAAAAAAAAGAAAGCCCTGCTTCATAAACTGTACACTCAGGACACCCTACTGGACCGGATACCAATTTCTCTTCACTTATCTCACCCGGGATGAGCGAGCAGCATAGTTAGTGGTCGGGTTGAAATGGTAGCGTAGCTCCTGGCGTCCCTTGATTTTGACGTCCACATCTAAATTGTTGTCCATGACCGGGGGTTTGTGGATCTCGTACTCAGACAGAGCCTGCAGTACCACCATGGTAGACTGGGAGAGAGTGGTTTGTTTGGAATGGAAAGAGCATTTTAGTGAGCATTCTCTTTGACAATGTAAACACGTCAATTTCCAGCTGTGGGCTAGTGTAGCACTGTTGACTAAAAATAAATAAAAAGAGAGCTTTTAGCTTTTGTCGTTTCTACATCTATACGCACACATCAGTTAGTTATGGCACTAAAGAGATGTAGATACTGTACACATATATAAAATATACATGTACAGCTCAGTACTCATTAAACATTGAGGGATTATTCTGAAAGTTCAAGCTGCTGGAGGTGTTGAGCTTAGTTTAAAAGAAACTTTTGTAGGAACGTTTAATATGACAATAAAGTAAGATGGCTTCCTGGTAAATACAAATGATCCTATCATAAGTTTAACCTCAGATAATGGACATTCAGAAGGAGTTCCAGGATGAATGACTAAATTGAATCCAACTTCACTGATCCATAATGTTATGACCTAACTCTGATGTCTTCTGGACACTACAAGCAATTGATGCAAGGCCAAAACATCATATTTGCAAAAGAATATAGCAAGTATGCCCCCTGCTGGTACCTGAGTGGACCCATAACCACCACCTCTCCTCCGCTGCTTGCTGAGCCATTCAAAGACTGTTGCTGCTTCCTGCATCTGCTTCAGTTTCATCAGTGCCAGTAATGCGTAGCCAGTGGCCTCCAATGTAAACAAGGTGTTGTATGCGTCCGGCCAATGTGTGCGATCTAGTGAAGAGAGAGAATAAAAAGTGAGCTTCTTTTAATACGTTTCTACCAACGAGAAATGAAATGATGCCTCAGCAGGGGTTGAACATCAAGTTACCTGGAGAAGCTGCTGCCAGTAACTCCTGTGTTGGCTTGAAGCGATCTGTGCCCAGTAGCGTCAGTGCATAGGAAGCAATGGCCACAGTGTACGGTCTCCTCCCCCTCATTACCAGAGCTTTTCTCAGGGTGTTCTCAACTTTATGGATGATCGACTGTGAAAACAGACTTTTTTTTCACTTTAGAGCTAAAAAATTTTTTAAAAATATATATACATATATATGTTTGAAATTACCTCCATATTCACATCTGGATCAGAGCAGCGTACCCCAGCCTGCTTTGCTTCAGCCAATGCTATCATAACAAAGGCCGTCAGGGTTATTTCAGGGTCATCACCACGGAGGCCACCCTGAAGACACGAGGAGAAAACGAGGTTCACAAGATTGGACTCTTGAGCAATGAAAAAAAAAAAGTCTGTTTATCAACTGTAGATATGGGAGTCAAATAATTACGCATCATTCTCTAACGCCTACTCCGTGGGGCGCAGTAGAGTATTATTGCGGTCGGATGGTCTTGTAGTATTGTACACTCACAGTCATGGTAGTTGAGTACACTGGGTTGTCTTCAACAAAGGTTCTCGTTATATGCCGATACTTGTTCTTGGCCAGGTAGATCAGAGGCTCACACACCTGCTGCTTTTGGATTCCCACAATGGTGTGAGCCACGGAGAACACCTTCACTACATACGCTGTTATCCTGACACAAGGGTCACAAGGGTCAAGTCAGTTACAACTGTCTGCAAACCATCAAAGACCATTTAATAGTTCAGTGAGAAGAGCTAATTTTACCATGTACTTGCACCTTCACGCCTGTAGGGGGGATAAGAACCATCAGGCTTTTTGTAGGCCAGCTGGTTCTGGTACCCTAGAAAGACAAGGTATAACATTTGTGACTGTGCAATATTAGATATATAATATTATAATATTATTATTATGATTTATTGATAAATTCCATTCATTTTTTTTCTTGTCTCACCTTTAGTGATGTAACTAAGAGCTTCAGCCCTGCGCTCCACCCCTACGCTCTCCCAGTTGTTGGTACGATCCAGATAGAGGGTGGCAATGAGCGGCAAAGTCATTCTGGCCAAATTCTGCTCCACACATCCCCCAGGCATTTGGATCAGAGATGCCAGGGAGTCCTCACTGATGGAGTTGTCAATGCTATCTGCTAATATGTTGCCTGTAGAAGTTGAGTTGAATTTAGGCGTGAACCTAATTCTCTTCTGAGGGTTCTTTCGGCTTCAGCTGTGTTTGATACTTGCCTCTGATGTTGATGAATGTCTCCGGAACTGAGTGTGGCACAACCGACTCCAGTGAGACCTTGTCAAAAATGACTGTCTGAGTTCCTGTAACGGACGTAAGCATAGTGAAAAAAAAATTAGGAGGATGAAAATGTAACAATGAACAGAACATTACAAAATCAGACGTCGAGGTAAACTCCTCACCGCCTTCAGCCGATGGGTTCAAAACCGCACTTTTCACTTCGGTCTTCTGCACTCCTTCCATCTACATAATTTAAAAACAAGCGGGTAGTCCATAATTAAACGTCCAAAATCCACATTATATTATTCTGCCTATGGAATACAGTGGATGAGATTCATGGACCGTGTCAGGAAGGGCGTTCTGTCTACAAACTTAAATCCCTATCACCACTCACCACTCCCTCCAAGGTGACTCTGGATAGAAGTTACAAACTAGATGTGATTCAATAAATCGTTTTTTAAAAAGAAAGCAAAAAAGACGACTATATATATACATATACATATATATATATATATATATATACATATACTGTTCCTGAAGAGGCAAACGTCTAATAATCGGAGTTATGGATGTGACTTCTTTCTGTGGAAACAAATGACTCACCACCACCCGTAGGTTTTTCTGCACCCGGTCCCCCAGGTAATCCTTGGCGAGGATCATCACCTCCAGAGGGAGTTTTCCCACCACCAACGGCATGATGGTGTAAGGCACTGCGACGGAGGAGCCGGCCGGCACCGACACGTCCTGTGTGTGTTTATCTTTGAATGCAATGCTGCAGATGTCCTCCGTCTTCATCAGCACCACCCTGACCTGAGACGACAACATGCCGAGTTTACTGTAGTGTTAGGGCCGGTTTCAGCATGTAATTTGGTTTTGTTTTTACTGTCCATTTCAGTTTTCTTTGAGTTAAAAGACGATGTGAGACAGACGAGATCATATGCAGCTGAGTGAGAGGATGCACGTACGCGCAAGTTCTCATAGTCGTAGTTGTGGATCACAGCTTTGATCTCCACCTGCTCGTTCCTGGCGACTGAGTGAGGAAGCTTCAGGTCTACGAAAAAACGCTTCCAGGATCTGACATTGTACGGCTCAGCCACACAGAAGCCTGCAAAGATCAGACCTCTTCTTCTGTGCCATCCTTTCAATTCATAACGTTTGAAATTCCAACGTGTCTCTCCACCTACCTGTACTGAGCGAAGAACTGATGGCCATAATTCCCCACTCGGTGATGCTATCTGGTAAAATGTGGTCAACGGTCTCAGATGCGAACCTAAGGATTCATGTTAAGGTTATCAACAGTTTCTACATAAAACACATATGATGTGCGGACACACAAAATTAGGTTTATACATGAGGTTCGCTAAAAGAATTTCCTGCTGTTGAAATGTAGGAAATCCAGGATAGCACTGAAAGGATAAGTGAGGTCTGCTAACCAGGATCAGAAACGGTTCATCTTTGCTGTTTTAACTGTTTTTGTTTTTTGTAGTGGTATTTAAGTCAACCTCGAACTACATTTACTTTTTTTTTTTCTTTTTTTTAAAACAGACTACAGCTACTCATGAGCAAGTGGCATCTTTTAACGTTTAACATTATAAGTGATAAAACCACTGCTCTTCTACTCACCCGTCTGCCTCTGCCTTGCTGGGCAGGTTCACATCCTTCCACAGCCATGACTCGAAGAACCTGGAACGCACATAAACGTCGGTTTCATCCAAGTATTCCCACTCCTCTTCCTCCTCTTCTTCCTCTACCTCCTCTGGAAACTGTTTCTGTAATTCTACTCTTCCTTCCAGACCTGTATTTACAGGTACACTGGCCGCATGTAGCTCGGGCTGGACTGGTGATGCCATTGAAAAATATATACGACGATCTGTATGGGAAAAAAGGATAATTATTATTAGGGATGTCCGATAATATCGGCCGATATTAGCATAATGATGTAATATCTGTAAGAATCGTTATCGTTTTTTCCTCCAGTTATGAAAACCTGATAACAGAATACCTGCGTTTCGCCAAACAATGTGTGCTTTAAAAAATAGTTTGGGGAATAAATGGCTGTATATTAAGGTGAAAGTCACTAGATGGCAGCATTGCAGCTCATTACATTAATCAATTTTAATAATCGGGATTGTATGTAGAATACTGGTTTGCACAGATAAACCAAATAAATATTATCATATGGTCTTTATCGGCATCGGTTGATATCGGAATCAGAAATTAAGTGTTTGGAAAACATCGGACATGCCTAATTATTATTTACCATTAGAAAATGTTTAGAAAAATTCTTTTACAGATTTACATGCTAAAAGTGTTGTTTTTTTAAAAAGTATGTTAAACAGTAAAGGAGTTCTTTGGCGCATACTACTCCTGGTCAGTACTGGTACTGCAGCCAAAACAGCATATTTCTGATTGGCTTAAAAAGTTTCCACAAGTGAATGTTCTAGCTGGTTTAGCTGTAAATCAGTGAACAACTCACTTGGGGCTGAATCCCTGACATGAGTTCTCAAAACAGGAACCACATCTGCAAATGCAAAGTGAAATGCAAAGGTGGGCCTTGGAGCAGAGGTTGTGGGCGGCGTTGTTGTGGTGGGTGGTGGCGTTGTTGGTATTTCGGTGTCAAACGCCTCATCCCTATAGGTGGAGCAACAGTAGCGGAAGGCACGAATGCACTCCCAGCCCTCAGTGATGTAGTAGGAGCGGCGTGTACAGGAGTACGGCATAGGGACCGCCCTCAGGCCGTCTTTACAGCAGCGGTGCTGCAGCTTCTCCTTGTAGTGACTCTCTGCAAACAGAGGTGGCGATATTAGGTCAGATTCATTATGCGTCAACAAGCTTGAAGGGAAACCATGAGCCCTAGCTTTTGACCCTCTGGATACAGACACCGCTGTCGGCAAAATGTTCGACTTCGTTAGTAATTAAAATCATCTCAAAGTGCAAAACTGAGTTTTTTTATATCATGGTTTGATTTTTCTTGACAGTGTTGTCAGCAGAGATAACACATTCCAGACTTACCAAGCTGCTCTTTACGCCGCAACAGCTCAGCCGAGCGCCTCCTTCTGGCACTTCCTGGGCACTGCAAGTCTAAGGGAAGGAAGATATTTATAGAGGATGCTGCCTTTTGTTACACACACATATATATAGATATGTTTTCTGTATTTATTTTATATTTATATTTAAAAAAAAAGGCAAACTAGACTGAAATTAAAACAAATTTTGTACGTTAGAATGTAAGAAAATGTCAAATTTTGCCACATATATGAATGTTTTTGGTTAATAATAATAAGGTTAAGTGTGATTTTTTTTTTTTAGTTCTTAGAGGGCTACCTTGTCTAGATTTAGTTGAAAATCCAGTACTTGAAGATACTGAAAGTCCAGCATCTGTAAAGACTCCCTTGGCATCGATACCTCCCCCACGGGTGCAGCCAATGTCACCCTGCTCCACCATGTTCCACAACTAAAGCAGAAATATTGAAATGCTTTTAAAAGGTCATAAAAAAAAACATTTCTGTGAATGATTCCACCCGACTATGATGATAATCCCATATTGTTTCAATGAAAACACGTTTAGCTTTGTTCAAATAAAACAAACAAGAAAACTTTAAAAAAACGTGTGTAGAAGTGAGTGTACCTTTCTCTGTGTGAGCCTTTCCTTGTTGAGCAAAAAGACTGCATTGTCTACAGCCACCAGGCTGACCTTTGCTCCCGGGTCACCTTTGACCTGAAAACGAAAGCTTTTTCCAGGCGCATAGTCTCGATGTACGCCAGCCACTGGCCCAACTTTCAGCTACGACACAGAAAACATTCAGTCACAGATGCACAAACTGGCACTAAGCATCTTCTACTATAGAGAATCAGAGAGAGAAAATAAACCTCTGAATTGTGGGTGTGTAATTTTTGTACACAATAATCCAAATATTTTCCAACAATACACTTGCAACAATAATTATAAACACATAAAAGGCAAAGTAAACGTTAAAGTTCTGCTCTGGAATATTATTACTGACACTTATCGGACTATATATTTGCTAATTACAAAACAGGTTATAAATAGTTCCCTGACCAGACACAGCTGCACTTACTCCTCCCACACAGGTGTCTGTCACATCCACCCAGATGGAGTCAGACACCACCTCCTCATTCTCAGACCAGGGGACACTGTAAAAAGCCACGAAACGGAACGATGGCATCATCTCAGGAGTAATGATCAGTCCAATGGCGGTTAACAACTGACCGGTCACGTCCATACGCTGGGCTGTTATGATTTTACCTTTGTTAACCACCTGTAATTATTAGAAAAAATATATTATAGAAGGACAGTAGGAATAATGTGTGCAGCTGAGTGTTCCTCCTGTTCCCTGTGGCTATTATCAGGAGTAACTATTTAAGGATTTTGCAAATAAATGACAGTTTATTAAATTATATATATATATATATATATATAGTAATATTCTTGGGGAAAAACAACTGTATATAAAAGTGAAAGTCACCAGATGGCAGCATTGCAGCTCATTTTTTAAATTTCTATATATATATTTTTGTTGACTTCATTGTGCACAGATTTGCTGCTTTCCGCAGCATTGACGACTGTTTTTTTCCCTGAGGTCAAGAGTTTAGGATTTTTCTTCTTTTTGTACACACATGTTTAAACATTTCTCTGCCAAGTAAAAAAGGAAGCTCTGGTCTCACCAGGTAGGTGATGTGATTTGCGCTGAAGACCTTCGCTGTCTGCTCATCTGTAACGATTTTCACGTTCAGGGAGAGCCTGTCTCCTACTGACACTGAGCTGGTCGCAGCAGAGATGTGAATGTAGTTCTGCTTTTTCAAGTTAAGAGCACGGTATGGAAGAAGAACCATCTTGGTGTCAGCCTGCTGAGTTGGTTTTAGACCATGCTGTGTGGTCCTCGCCTGGGAAACAGATTTGGTTGAAAAACACAACAGGTGTGAACGTCAACACTGAACGGACGCAAATAAGGAGTCAAAAAGCACAGAAAGAGGTTCTCCTCATTTCTGTCCACACAAAAGAACGCTGGAGCAAAAAACAGTAAAAGCGTTAAATGTAAAATTCTAAAAAGAGTGAAATGGTCGAGGACCAAATCTGGACGCTGTGACAGTCATACGTACAATGATGGTTTGAGGGAAATGAATTCTGGGCATGTTGATAGTAGCCCTGGCAGTGCCGGAGGAAACGACCAGCGGGTCGTCCATGAGTGACACGCTGACCAGAACATTTTTGGCTGGGGAGCCGTCGTGATGGCTGACTTGGACCTAGAATTATTGTCAATGACATTTTTTTCTCTTCTTTTCACTTGTGACTTACAGAAAGTGATTGAATGTTTCAGTACAGAGGACTATTCTTACTGTCAGGTCAAAGGGCAGACCTGGCTTGAAGTACTTTGGCGTATCTCTGAAAGAGATGACATACGGGGACTCTACGATTTTGATCCCTGTTTTTTCGGCTTCCACGAGGTCACCTCCTGTTCAGGAAGAAAATAAAGTGGACAATGAAGTAGAGTTAAAACCTTTAACACTTACTTTACAGTCAGGCATTGGACATCATTCACCAGAAAGACTTGCTCCAGAGCCTGACATCGGGCGACCGATATCATCGGCCTGATATTAACATAATTGTGTAATATCTATAAGGACTGTATGGTTTTTTTCCCCATAAAAACCAGATAACGCAATTTCTGGGTTTCGCCAAATGATATCTGCCCTAAAGGTAGTTTTGGGGAAAAACAGCTGTATATAGAAGTGAAAGTCACCAGATGGCAGCATTGCAGCTCATTTTTTAAAATTTATATTAATAATCAGAGGATTGTATGTGGTGTGTGTGTGTGTGTGTGAAAATACTGCTGTCCTCTCAGCAACATCCCATATGAAGGGTATAAATAAAGTGTCTCAGACTGCAGCAACACGCCCCAATATTCCAAAAACCCTCTGTTTGTTCAAAGGCTTTAAGAGTTTGTTTAGACATTTGCCAAGTGCAGGCTGCTGTGATGGAAACAGACTGATACAAAGGTTAACATCAGTCCATGTCCTGATTACAACAGTCTGGACAGTTGGACCTTGGTGGACTGAGTAAACAAAGCACACACAAACAACAGAACACACACTTTTTTACTGAGAAATTCAAACTGCTCTGTCCTACTTTGCTGTTTCCTTACCTGTGGTGGTGAGAACAGAGGCTTTGACATACACAGAGTGGCCAACCAAAGTTCTAACGTCGGGGTACGCTCTCTTGATCTCATCCATGCTGAGTGTGACCACTCCTCCGTCCAGCTGCACAAAGCACCAAATGAAATAAGTCAAATCATTCAGCTGTCACTTCGTCAAACGCTTAAGTAAAAAAAAAACAAAAAACCATGTATCATGTATAGAACGATGGCTGCAAAATGCTTTATTCAGTGAGAGGAACAGAACTGCAGAAATATGGGTTTTTCGATGGCTGCAAAAGGCTTTATTCAGTGAGAGAAACAGAACTGCAGAAATATGGGTTTTTCAGTGGAACAAAACCTGTAAAATTTGTCAATGTGCTGGGGTTCAGCACAACTTTTTACAAAAGAGGGCGCTATTGCAAAAGTTGGAAAATCACTGATCTGATGGAAGGATGGATGATGGATGATGGATGATGGATGATGGATGGATGATGGATGGATGAAGGATGGATGATAGATAGGACATTAGACATGAAACTGCCCAAAACTAGACCAGTGTTTCCAAAACTTCTCTACAGCGCCCCCATTTGTAGATGTGACTTACATCTGACACCTGCTTCACTGAGGGTAAACGCTGCATCTCTTTGTTGATCTTCACTCCAAACACCACGTAGGCGGTTCCCTGGACCGGCTCACCAAACAGGTACCTACAAAAAAATCATAATGAAACCATAACCAAAATTTTTTAAATTAATTACCATTCATTACTATACCATTACAATATATCGTATCGTTGCTCCTACATCTTGACACATATTGCCGATTCACACACACTGTAGACTTTCTGTTTGCCAAAAAAATAAATAAAAACAGCCCCAAACCAGACATTCCCTGCGGTTCAACTCGAACGTAGACACGCGGAGAGACAAGATCTGAGGTTTTAAGTTGCTCAACATTTAAACTGAACACTGAATCATTTTGTCGGGTGAAAATGTTCGATTGGTGAATTCAGTCAAACAAATGTCGGAAAACACACCTGGCTGAGATCTCCACTGCAAACTCCTGATCTTCGAGATCAATGAAGGTCTTCTTGGGCGTCAGAGTCACGTTGAAGGCAGGCAGCACTGAAACGCACCACAAAGTTAAAGGTGAAAACGTTCTGTACCAGACGTTTGAGGAGCAGAAATGAACAACGACAGGTGGCTGCAGTGGCCGCTCCTAAATATTCATCATATCGTTATTATTTATAAAAAGACATGAACTCACCGTATTTTTTCACCTCAAACTGGGCAGTGAATGTGTTCTGCGGCCAGTGGTCGAGCTTTGCAATTATTTTCCAGGTTCCTTCACTGTTGCAGAAACGTAAATACATCAAAATTATAATTTTAAGTAAATTATGAGTAAATAACAGTGAATATTTACTTCAGGCCACTGTAGCCACATTTACACACGTAAATATATATTACTACTGCGTTGGAAATTATTATTGCCTGTGGCCCTGAAGAAATATTTATTTTTGTATTTTATTTTTGTGTTGCAAAAGGTCAAAGCTGCATTACTGACATCATGTGCAGGGTCATGGTTCAGAACTTTGCAGAAGGAAACTGAACTGAAATGGCCCGACTTACTTTGCAAATTCAAAGATAGTGAACGTGTCTGATAGGACGCCATCAGCGGCTCTCATCGAGACCAGCTGTTTCACCACCACGCCCCCTGAATCCTGAGAAGAAAAACAAACAAACCGATACGTGAAGGCAGACAGACTGTAGATGGTTTCGCTGCGATCGCCAGTCGTTTACTCTTTGCTTCCTAGATAGAGTCAGAGTGTGGTTCGGCGCCCCCAAAGTGATAACTGAATCAGAACCAAAACTTTACAATGTGCTTTGATAGCACCCCCTACAGGAGAGGGTTTTTTTTATGTGCCAGATATTTTTTTTTTATTTTAGATTTACAATAGTTGGTCTGAACAACTGTTGATATTAAAAAATGTTCCTTACCTGTATATCAAGTGAAATGGAAGCGTCAAAAGCCTTAAAACTAGGATTGGACACAAAGGTTCTGAAATAAACTGTAAAAAAAAAGAAAGAAATGAACGTCAATAACTCAGTTTAATCAACTGCGGTCCATCCAGCGTCCTTTATTTCTTCACTTCTCACCAACTTCTCCTGGGTTATAGACAGGTTTGTCCGTTTGGATGAAGATGTATCCGGAGTGGAATGAGACCATCAGTAACTTCTCCACAACATGGAAGCCGCCAAAGTCAACCTGCAGGTACACAAACTTGTTCTTTTTCTCTTCAGGATTCAGACTCTCTGAGGGAAGCTGGGAAGAAAGAGCGGCGCAGTCAGGAAGAGATCCAATCAAACACTCATTAAATTAGATGTAAAAAAACCCCCACACAACACAATGACTGGGTTTCGTCAAATAATGTGTGACCTAAAAATTGTTTTGGGGAAAAATGGCTGTATATGAAAGTGAAAGTCACTAGATGGCAGCATTTCAGCTCATTTAAATAATCAATTTTAATTATTAGGGTACTGTATGCAGAATGCCAGTGACTCAATACAGTGGTTTGTACAGGTACAGTAAATGGAATATATAATGGAAATGTTGGTGGAAAAAAATCTTGCACCAGCATTAAAAGGTTTTTAAACTCTACTTTTCTGCACGACCTGAGGCTGTGAGTCTGTGTAGTCACCTGTATGGTTGTTTTAGCTTGGAAGTCATTTTCCTGGTTAAGTGTGACAGATTCCAGGAGAAGTAGAATTGTCTTGGTGAAGTCCAGGATAGTGATGGTCACACTGAGAAGGCTGGACTGACCATCGACCTGCAGGAAGATGTTCTCCTCGCTGTCTGTCCTCAACAGGTCCGGGGCGAAGACCGTATACCTGGAGGACCGTGGAACAATAGTCAAGTTGAGATGAGAGAGGTATTTAATTTGGAAAAAAAGTTAAAACATTTTTGTATTATTTAAATTTATATATTAAATTAAATAACTATTAGTAGAGATGTCCGATATTAAACGTTTTGCCAATATCTGATATGCTGTTGCTGGAACCAGCATTCTGTATACAGTCCCCTGAGCTGCAATGCTGCCATCTAGTGTTTTTCACTTTAATATACAGCTGTTTATCCCCAAAACTGTTTTTAGAGCACACATCACACCCAGGCAGTATCGTTATCGGGTTTTCACTATCAAAGGAAAAACCGATAACGATTCTTACAGGTATTGCATAATTATGCTAATGCAAATAACGGACATCCCTATTTATTAGTTGTCAAATGGGTTAAAACTGTTTGTTTTGAGAGCAGCTTCAAACTGATCTCAGACTCTACCTTGGTGCAGTACTTATGTCATTATTCTCCCTGTAAAAAAAACAAACAAAAAAACAAAATCAATAACAAACATCGTTCACCAAAAGTGATTAACGTGTCTGAGAGCAACAAAAAACTTAAAATATTATTTATATTATTCAGTAAACTTAATATATAAATATACACACACACACACTTTTGGACACTTACGGATGTAGGCCCAAGTAGTCGTTCAATGACATTAATCCTCCTCTGCCAAAATACACACACACACACACGCACACACAGTTAATCACATATAAAACATTTTAAAAATGTATAAAAATATATAAAACCTAAAAACTGATAACTACCTTTTCAGCTAACTAAAACTGTCTGGTGTTAAACTACTGAACCGGACACATAGAAACTAAAACACATGTATTTCTTCTGCTGACTCACATCTGTTGCTGATTCAGGGCTGTTTCCATTTGTAATTTAAACTGTTTAAAAACTTCAAATCAGACACTAATACTTCCATCTTTGAGCCTAAAACCCCCCCCAGATATTTTATCTCTATTGACTTTGCTTCATTGTTGTCGTGGGCTTTAAATGCAAACAAGCAACAACAAACATTCATATCAGTGACTACATTTACGACTAAAACATTTGGTTATACTGTATGTCAGTTGTAAAGTCTCAGCCAACGCAGCGCGTGCTGCGTGGAACACACTTACTGTACTTCTTCAAATGAGCTTGAAACACAACGTACCTAACTTTCCTGTTCAAAGAAAAACAAACAAAAAACGTTAATTAGAAAACAGGCATCAAACATCAAGGACTCATTTAAGGACTTCACATTTGACCTAGCCTGTTTCTCTAGCCTTGAATCACTATTGGTGGATCAAGATAAATCATACTCTATGCTTTTATGTCTATGTGACACAAATCTTTAACTAAAAATGTATTTGATGCCAAATTTCCTCCAAACATAAACAGTATAAAGTCGTTGTCCTTACTTGCGCCGACTGAAAAAACCCTCGTTAAATTGGCAGAAAAGCAGAAGAACTAAAGTGATTTTTAATGTCGAAGTCATGTTAACCGTCCAGTGGTGTATGCCGACCTCCGGCCTCCAGACCGACGGTCAGCTATTAAAGCGCACTGCCTACCCCCTCTCTCCCCCCCGGCCCCTCCAACCCACACACAGTCCTACCTCCAACCCAAAGACACTAATCAATAAAGACACACGGAGTTCCCGTAACATTCTCTTAGCGTTCACTGTTTGCTAATGTTGCTCAGGTCAGAGGTCAAAGAGTCAGCAGTAAGATAATAAGACGTCACAAGAGAAAAAGTCAATAATGCTCAGGCAAAAGGCACTTGGAAGTTCTGTGAATTGTTGTGAAAAAGCTGACAATCAAATGTTTTTGACGTGTTGAGAAATGCTGGAGTTTCGAGTGGAAACTTAGCATTAAAAAAAAAAAAATCTACGACTTCAGGAAGGTTTAGGGTCACTGTAGGTTCTGGATGCAGGGAACACTGTCTCAAACAAGAAATGTGAACGGTCACTGTCGGAGCTCGTTCTTCAGTTCAGACCGAGGAGAGAAGTGACACCGGTGACACGAATGGAAACCTATAAGAGAGAGAGAGACGGTTCTTCTCACTTTATTTTGTTTGAGAAAACCTCCTGTCAAACGGAAGAATTAGGATTTCTGCTATTGAAACATTATGGAAGCAACTTATTTTTGCCACTTGGATAAAAAAAAAATCATAGATTCTTAAGTCACAATAATGAGATATTTCCTTGTTATTATTAGATAAAAAAAAAAAAGATCATAGATTCTTAAGTCAAAATAATGAGATATTTCCTTGTTATTATTATATATTATATTGTCATTT